ACTGTATCTTGTGACATTTTTCTTCCTTTTGAGCTGTATAGCAGTCAAAATGCTTTCCTCTTTCCGATGCACATAAGATGAAGACACTAATTGTGTCTGATTGATATTGTACCATTTTCCATCCTTGTCTTTATATTTTTGGTTTATGCTGTCTTTTGACTTTATTCTCTTTCAACGGAAATAGAGCCTGCACGCCTTATTTTGGACAAGGGTGGTTGATCTTATATAAAGTTCACTGCACATTATGATGGGTAGTAGGTACGTAGGTATTGTGAATTTTTAAGCAAAACACTTGATTTGTAGTTATTGACGTGGACAATTTTCTTTAGAAATACCAGTAGTATAACACTCTTTCAACAGATCTGTTACAAATCACAGAATTGTGTATGTTTCATTCATGATTTAATGAATTTCATTTTCGATTTCGTAGTCTTCAACAAATTTTAACTGGTAAGAGAATTAGGAAGAACTGGACGAGGAATTGTACGATATGCATATTTGCAAACGCTGAAGTATAAAAATATCTGGATTTAGTAGAAAACACGAGGTACATTTTTTGCACGACCCACACAAGATGAATACTTGGGATCTGGCTTCTCCAACGCTTTTCCTCTGGCTCTATTGAATCTTACTCAGCTTATAACCAAAATGCATCCCTAGTTTCATGGAGTGTTGTGATAGAATTTATTTCTCTGTTAAGACTCAAACTTGTCCACCTGTTGCAGCACCTGAAAGATGGTAATATTCTGGGATGGTAGGGGAGGGAGAGGTGGCATTCTCATTAATGGAGTCATCACAAGATCTCCACCCCCGTTTGTGAGGTTATGATGCCTCTTTCGTACTCCTCGAGCTGGAGGTTCTGCGTCCATGGAGGTTGTTCTTTCCCCATCTCCAACGACCCTTATTTCTGCTCTCTTCTTTAAGCTTTCTGCAAACCTCTTTTCATGCATCCTTTCATCCTACAAAAGTCACATTTATGTCAGTTTCTTTCCTCAACTTCGATTGCACTTCAAATATTGAAGTATTCCTCTTACACTGCGTTTCCTGGGGGCCTTTGGAACAATCAGTCAAACCAAACATAAAAAATAAAATATTCTGGTTGTTATCTTCCTTTTTTAACCTTTCCTACAGAAACCAGTAATTAGATTCATCCCGAATACATGTAGTTTTCATTAACTTCAATTATTTATTGTTTGCAGAATAATTCTGGAAGTTTCTATTTTATCTTCCTGTGAAAGTTTACTAAGTAACATTAATTTTTTTTTTATATTTAAAGTAATAACTAAATGTATTTTTTTAATTAATACTGTCTTATATTATATGTTTGAGAGAGGATACAACACGAAAATATACAACCTTTCTCTAACTAGAATCAACCTCTAAATCTTTTACAATTGACATGGATATCTAGAAACTAAAATTGAGTGATGTTGTATAATACCTTCTTACTGATGTCTTACGTCCCCAAATATATTAAATGAAAAATAAGTAGATATATTTAAATATCTTGAGAAAATCAATATTAAAAATGTTTTAGGAAAATTGAAATTTATTTGATAAAGGTCAAATACCTTTGACGAACATCTTGCATGAGAAATACATTGACTGCATATAAGATTTTTCTCCTTTCTTTATTTTTTTATATTTTTGTTTCAAAGCAAACACATGACTAGATTAGAGATACATTATGAGAAATATCTGCACGTACTGAGGTTCAATTAAGATACAAAGTTATTTTCTTTCAAAAGCTTCTAGCTTCCTGTTATTGTCTTCGCCGTACTAAACCCTAAAAAGACATTCTCCACATCTGTATGCTGTAATTCAGAGCTAGAAAGAGAAGCTCAGAAGGGTGTATCCCTAGTCTAGTATATACGTCTTCCAAATATTGCAGGCCAAAAAATTATGTTTAGTATATCAAATTCTTGCGATATATATAAGGTATATAAGGTACATCTCCAGAAACTTTACATGTCGGTCCCTTTGCAAGCAAAAGACTATTACGAGCACAAAACTATAAGACAAGTGAGGAAATAAGGAATCACCATGGGCTCAAAACAAACATAAAAGCGAAGCTGCATTGTTTTTCGTTTCCATGCAAAATCCCTGTTTGTCATGCCATCATATGATAATAAGTAGATAACTAAAGAACAGAAAACAAATATGCTTACATTAATAACGGAAGACTCGGGCATTGGGCATTTCACGGGACGATCTTCATCTGGTGGCTCCATAGGGTGTTCAACAGGGAAAAAATCAGTGCTTTTATCAACCCCTTGAAGATGATGCACTTCCATGATGATACTGTTTTGTTGTGTTGTTGCACTAGCTTCATCTATCAAGCAAAACTCGCTCTCCTTTTGGTCCTAATATTTAGAAAATTGTTTTTTGTGAGCACCACATGCTGAGTGTCACAAGAACATGGAAGATGAAAGGAAAAAACAGCTAAGATTCTTCACCATTAACACATTCTCCAAATACCATTTTATGAGGGAATAGGTTGGAGAGAGAAAGAAGGTTTAAGAGCACTTACAAAATGATCCCCAAATGAAAATCCCATCAACATACGAGCTCATGCCAGAAGCTGAGAAAATGTTGGTTTGTCTGTCCGTTGTGTGTGTTTGTGTCTGTGAGAGTGAGAGAAAGAGAAAAAGATAGGAAAAGAGAAAGACAGCATAAAAAGGTGTAATAGAGCAGGATGAAAGAGAGAGAGAGAGAGGTGGCAATGTGGGATCACCTTGTACAGTTGAAGGGAAGAAAGATTCCCATTGGGATTTTGCTACTGCTTTTAAAATTTTAATCTTTCGCTTTCTTTTATTTTTATTTTATTTTTTAATTTTTATATGGGTCCTTGTCTCTTGGCGAATCAGAGGCATTGCTTTTCTTTTCTGCTTTGCTGCTTTTTAAGAAGAGTAGCAGTGTAGTTGGGTTGAAAATGTTGGATTCTCAAATTCTCTCTCTATCCCACACACTTTCTGCTTTACTTGGATATTGCAAGAAGCAAATAACCTACAGATTTTATGCTTGCTGCTAAGTTACATTACACCCATCGTAAAGAGCAAAATCNGTAGCACTTGCGGGGACTGCATTGGTGAGTGTTGTCTTCGTTAATATTTTACATGAGTGAATTATTTTTGTGGATCCTCAAACAGCTTTTCCACACAATTAACGTTGATTTCTTTTTGTTGTAATTAAGACTTACTACAGATCATATAGTGTGTATTGAATTGGTGATTAGAAGAGCATAGAAGTAAATAAGCACAGGAGAAAAAAAGGACTGGCAACTTACATATTTCTGAAATAAAAAGTTCTATTTATTTTTCTTACTAAATTAAAATGAGCTAAAATTGAATAGAGAGATTCATCATGCCTAAGATTTATGTTCAGTAACATCACAACTGTCGAACTTTTATGTACTATAATTCTTCTGAAATCGTGCGGTTGAGGAATTTGCTGATTGAGTTAGGTCTTGGACAATTATCAGTATCATATCTACGGATGGAAATCTCATATCAACTAGTGATAAGGCCAATTCATACTTTATAAGGGGGTGCAAACTTCACTCTACAAGCCAGTTTTGTGGGGTTGAGTTAAACTTAAAGCCAACTTCTAACATAGTATCAGAGTCATGGTTAGAGCCGATCCTAGTGATGTTTGTTGTTTGCTGGGCATATTGTTTCACCCACTATCGGACCACCCATTAAAATGTCTAATCCCACGCTTGAGATATATATACCTCGGCGTGAGGGGGTGTGTTGGAAGTCTCACATCGACTAGAGATAAGGCCAATTCATACTTTATAAGTGGGTCTCACCCTGCAAGCTGGTTTTGTGAAGTTGAGTTAGGCTTAAAGTTCACTTCTAACATCTACCATACATTTCAAATCCCCAGTTCCCATTGTTTTTATCCACAATGAACATAGAATGAAATAGAAAAACCGCTGTTCTTGGTGCAGGCGCTGCTGTGGGGTAAAGATCCTGGACAGTCATCTGTAATCGAGGCAAGGAATGTCTAGTAACGTATTTGCAGGTTGATTTCAAATTTTATTGATTTTAGCAATAACTTGTCTCGCTTTTGACAGGGATTTACAGCAGGTGGATTTATATACATCGCAATTGCCGGAGTACTTGCAGAAATGAATAGCAATGGGAATACAAAATTAAGAAGTACAGTTGTCCAAATAATCTCGCTGACAATGGGCATGGCTGTTGCCCTAGGTATTTCTCTTATAGAATGAACAAAATGTTGTCACTTTAGGACTTTCACCTCTTCATTCCTGATGTGCCAATTATTTTTAAAAAAATATGACCGAGCTACAAATGTTTTCTTTATATTTTGCTTTATGCTAAACGGTGAAGCCAGAAAAAAAGGCTTGTAAGGAAGGCGAACTGAGAAAATGATGCATCAATCAGATGGTCAGGCTTTAACACCAAATGATTCCTTACTCCCTAACATAGTGTAAACTTTGTACAGTAGATGTACTTTTCTACCGTCATTAATACTAACCTATCACGAGCCGTTTGTGTTTGTCAAACTGTATCTTGTGACATTTTTCTTCCTTTTGAGCTGTATAGCAGTCAAAATGCTTTCCTCTTTCCGATGCACATAAGATGAAGACACTAATTGTGTCTGATTGATATTGTACCATTTTCCATCCTTGTCTTTATATTTTTGGTTTATGCTGTCTTTTGACTTTATTCTCTTTCAACGGAAATAGAGCCTGCACGCCTTATTTTGGACAAGGGTGGTTGATCTTATATAAAGTTCACTGCACATTATGATGGGTAGTAGGTACGTAGGTATTGTGAATTTTTAAGCAAAACACTTGATTTGTAGTTATTGACGTGGACAATTTTCTTTAGAAATACCAGTAGTATAACACTCTTTCAACAGATCTGTTACAAATCACAGAATTGTGTATGTTTCATTCATGATTTAATGAATTTCATTTTCGATTTCGTAGTCTTCAACAAATTTTAACTGGTAAGAGAATTAGGAAGAACTGGACGAGGAATTGTACGATATGCATATTTGCAAACGCTGAAGTATAAAAATATCTGGATTTAGTAGAAAACACGAGGTACATTTTTTGCACGACCCACACAAGATGAATACTTGGGATCTGGCTTCTCCAACGCTTTTCCTCTGGCTCTATTGAATCTCACTCAGCTTATAACCAAAATGCATCCCTAGTTTCATGGAGTGTTGTGATAGAATTTATTTCTCTGTTAAGACTCAAACTTGTCCACCTGTTGCAGCACCTGAAAGATGGTAATATTCTGGGATGGTAGGGGAGGGAGAGGTGGCATTCTCATTAATGGAGTCATCACAAGATCTCCACCCCCGTTTGTGAGGTTATGATGCCTCTTTCGTACTCCTCGAGCTGGAGGTTCTGCGTCCATGGAGGTTGTTCTTTCCCCATCTCCAACGACCCTTATTTCTGCTCTCTTCTTTAAGCTTTCTGCAAACCTCTTTTCATGCATCCTTTCATCCTACAAAAGTCACATTTATGTCAGTTTCTTTCCTCAACTTCGATTGCACTTCAAATATTGAAGTATTCCTCTTACACTGCGTTTCCTGGGGGCCTTTGGAACAATCAGTCAAACCAAACATAAAAAATAAAATATTCTGGTTGTTATCTTCCTTTTTTAACCTTTCCTACAGAAACCAGTAATTAGATTCATCCCGAATACATGTAGTTTTCATTAACTTCAATTATTTATTGTTTGCAGAATAATTCTGGAAGTTTCTATTTTATCTTCCTGTGAAAGTTTACTAAGTAACATTAATTTTTTTTTTATATTTAAAGTAATAACTAAATGTATTTTTTTAATTAATACTGTCTTATATTATATGTTTGAGAGAGGATACAACACGAAAATATACAACCTTTCTCTAACTAGAATCAACCTCTAAATCTTTTACAATTGACATGGATATCTAGAAACTAAAATTGAGTGATGTTGTATAATACCTTCTTACTGATGTCTTACGTCCCCAAATATATTAAATGAAAAATAAGTAGATATATTTAAATATCTTGAGAAAATCAATATTAAAAATGTTTTAGGAAAATTGAAATTTATTTGATAAAGGTCAAATACCTTTGACGAACATCTTGCATGAGAAATACATTGACTGCATATAAGATTTTTCTCCTTTCTTTATTTTTTTATATTTTTGTTTCAAAGCAAACACATGACTAGATTAGAGATACATTATGAGAAATATCTGCACGTACTGAGGTTCAATTAAGATACAAAGTTATTTTCTTTCAAAAGCTTCTAGCTTCCTGTTATTGTCTTCGCCGTACTAAACCCTAAAAAGACATTCTCCACATCTGTATGCTGTAATTCAGAGCTAGAAAGAGAAGCTCAGAAGGGTGTATCCCTAGTCTAGTATATACGTCTTCCAAATATTGCAGGCCAAAAAATTATGTTTAGTATATCAAATTCTTGCGATATATATAAGGTATATAAGGTACATCTCCAGAAACTTTACATGTCGGTCCCTTTGCAAGCAAAAGACTATTACGAGCACAAAACTATAAGACAAGTGAGGAAATAAGGAATCACCATGGGCTCAAAACAAACATAAAAGCGAAGCTGCATTGTTTTTCGTTTCCATGCAAAATCCCTGTTTGTCATGCCATCATATGATAATAAGTAGATAACTAAAGAACAGAAAACAAATATGCTTACATTAATAACGGAAGACTCGGGCATTGGGCATTTCACGGGACGATCTTCATCTGGTGGCTCCATAGGGTGTTCAACAGGGAAAAAATCAGTGCTTTTATCAACCCCTTGAAGATGATGCACTTCCATGATGATACTGTTTTGTTGTGTTGTTGCACTAGCTTCATCTATCAAGCAAAACTCGCTCTCCTTTTGGTCCTAATATTTAGAAAATTGTTTTTTGTGAGCACCACATGCTGAGTGTCACAAGAACATGGAAGAGGAAAGGAAAAAACAGCTAAGATTCTTCACCATTAACACATTCTCCAAATACCATTTTATGAGGGAATAGGTTGGAGAGAGAAAGAAGGTTTAAGAGCACTTACAAAATGATCCCCAAATGAAAATCCCATCAACATACGAGCTCATGCCAGAAGCTGAGAAAATGTTGGTTTGTCTGTCCGTTGTGTGTGTTTGTGTCTGTGAGAGGGAGAGAAAGAGAAAAAGATAGGAAAAGAGAAAGACAGCATAAAAAGGTGTAATAGAGCAGGATGAAAGAGAGAGAGAGAGAGGTGGCAATGTGGGATCACCTTGTACAGTTGAAGGGAAGAAAGATTCCCATTGGGATTTTGCTACTGCTTTTAAAATTTTAATCTTTCGCTTTCTTTTATTTTTATTTTATTTTTTAATTTTTATATGGGTCCTTGTCTCTTGGCGAATCAGAGGCATTGCTTTTCTTTTCTGCTTTGCTGCTTTTTAAGAAGAGTAGCAGTGTAGTTGGGTTGAAAATGTTGGATTCTCAAATTCTCTCTCTATCCCACACACTTTCTGCTTTACTTGGATATTGCAAGAAGCAAATAACCTACAGATTTTATGCTTGCTGCTAAGTTACATTACACCCATCGTAAAGAGCAAAATCAAAGCTTAGAAAATGAGATGTGGAGAAAGAGAAAGCGAGAGCCGAAAGCATGAATATCGCGTCATTGCCATCACTTTAGTCTTCACACTTTTGAAGTAGCCGTTCGTTTATTTCGATGCATGTAACATTCGTAAAGTAGCAGTACGTATTCAGTAACAGTTTCAATATATATCAAAGGCTTAATACCTCTTTTGGTCCCTCGAAATGAGAGAAATGTTTAAGTACGTCTTACGTTTTTTAAAAAATTAAATGTGGTCTCAACTTGTGAAAAAAATGTGCAATTAAATCTTTTTTGGTCACAACGTTAATTTTTTAACGGTGTAACTGACAACATGGATTAAACAGTACGACGTGTCTATTTTATGTGAATGTTGGCTTTCTGAGGTTAAATGACGTGTAAAAAAAAATATTTTGAGGGGTAGGGGATGTTTGCTCTGCATTGAAGAAGATGCAGATGTTGAGGAAGACTGGCGATGAAGGATTTACTTGCAGGTTCGAAGAGTTCGCGACGGGTGACTTTGATCATACCCATTTAGGTTCAACTTCACGCCCCATCCTACCCATCCTACACAATGCATCAAGTTCATTCTCAACCACTTTCAATACCAATAGATACCCAACATCAAGATACCAACTCGTGATCTTCATCTAATCTCAAGATTTTCTTTCATCTGCACAAAATAAACGGATCAAAGCACAAACAAATCCCTCAAATTCAGTACATTCAACCCAAGAATACATCCCCAATCTCCCAATTTCCACTTAGTTGGCAAACTCTAAACTAGCCATCCCAACCCCCATCCACATCCTGTCTCCACCGCAACCGTGAATCTCCCACCGTCGTCGCTCACCACCAAGCTTACCGTTGCCAGCACACTGTTGTAAGTTGCGTGACCGCGACCCCAAACCCAAACCCCAAACCACCACCAAGCTTACCGTCGTTGGAGACATGGTGTCTCCGGCTTGCTTCTCATTCTTCTCAAGAGGCCAAACGGCCAACACCTTAACTCGCGGCAGGTCACCTTGCCACCTCCTAAAGGCCTCCCTTCTCTTGCTCATTCTCACGGAGGAAACCCTAAGAGGGGTTTGGGCTTGGCCCATCTTCAACGCAAGCAAGCAGCTCTATTCTCTGTTAAAAATATTTTTTTTTAAATTTAAATTTTACACGTCACTTCCACGTAATGACATAAACTAGACACGTAATTATGTTTTGTCCCTGTCCGCTGTACCGTTAAAAAATTAACGCCGTGACCAAAAAGGATTTAATTGCACACTTTTTTCACAAGTTGGGACCACATTGAACTTTTTAAAAAACGTAGGACGGACTTGAACATTGTTCCCCTAAAGAGGGACCAAAAGAGGTATTAAACCTATATCAAACTTCAACTTATTAAGTTGTATTCCTTTGAACATGTATAATATTAAATAAAAGGCTTAATTGTTGGGTGGTCCCCACTGAGTATGGTGACATGGCAAAATGCATCGAGTAAAAACATGTAAATATATTGTGCAATAATGTTTAATGAAACTTTCGATCTTCACTACAACCTTCTTTACTGTCAAAGAAAACCTGATTTTCCACTTTCACTCGTTAATGAAATCTTCAATTTCTCTTCTCTTCTTTGTTGTTGAAATACCCAATTCATAAAGTTCATTGACTATAATTTTTTATCTCTAAATCTTAATTCCAAATTTTCACACCAAAAGCCTAAAATAGACACACACAATCATATATATCAACACCAATGCACCTTCAATCTTTAATGGAACTCACTTCACTATCAAAGAAAGCTTGATTTTGCAGTTTCCCTACGCTGTCAATGAAATCCTCAATTTCACTTTCTTTTCTTTATTGATGGAATCCCAATTTATAAACGTTCATTGACTAATTATTTTTAAAAATCCTAATCCCAAATTTTCACATCAAAAAACCCAAAATAGAGACACACAATCATATATATTCAACACCAACGCACCTTCGATCTTCAATGGAACCTACTTTACTGTCAAAGGAATCTTGATTTTCCACTTTCCCTTTGTTGTCAATGAAATCCTCAATTTCGCTTCTTTTTTTCGCTATTGGAATCCCCAATTTGTAAACTTTCACTGACTAAAGTAATTATGCTGGTAAATATAATTTTTTTTGGATTTTAAAACTTTAATTATTCTAGAATTTTATCGATGAATTTAAATTTATTGATAAAATTTGTTGATAAAATTGTCGGTAATACAAAATTCAATACCAACTAATTTTTTCGTCGATAAATTTGTTGGTATTACATACCTTAAAATTTGTTGATATAGTCTGTGAGTAATTTAAAATTTTTGTTATTGACAGTTTGTCCGTAGGTAAAAAGAACAACAAATTTTTTATCTAAATTTTCGCATAATATACTCCGAAGAGCAAAGAACTGAAACCCAATCTTGAAACAATCAAATCAAAGCCCAAGAGATTATTCTCAAGTTGATAACCCGCCAATCAATATTAAAGTCCTTGGCTTCTCACCACCATTCACAACCTTAGACAAACCACCTCATCGCTCTCACTCATCATTGAGTTTGCTCCAAAATCCTCCAATTTTTCTTCTGGGTTTGTAGAACAAGCTTAATTTGTGCCACACCAACGAGCTGAGGCAGATGACATTAAGGTCACGATGAAACCCTAATCCTTGATTCCAACACTAAACAAAGACTCTCACGCGAAAACTAAATATGAAGGTGCAAATTAAGATGAAACTAAAGATGACATCGTTTAGAATTTGGGGATTAAGGGAAACGAGGGCTCGAATACCCCTCTGGTGGGTTCTCCACACGTGATGCTCGGGAGAGATGCGTTCTCCACTAGAGATCGAGGGCGAAACTAAATGGACAAGAAGTAAAGCCTAGTCCCCTTGGGGATGTCCATGTAGAAGAGGTGGAAAAGGAGAAAGATAAACANTTACAAAATGATCCCCAAATGAAAATCCCATCAACATACGAGCTCATGCCAGAAGCTGAGAAAATGTTGGTTTGTCTGTCCGTTGTGTGTGTTTGTGTCTGTGAGAGGGAGAGAAAGAGAAAAAGATAGGAAAAGAGAAAGACAGCATAAAAAGGTGTAATAGAGCAGGATGAAAGAGAGAGAGAGAGAGGTGGCAATGTGGGATCACCTTGTACAGTTGAAGGGAAGAAAGATTCCCATTGGGATTTTGCTACTGCTTTTAAAATTTTAATCTTTCGCTTTCTTTTATTTTTATTTTATTTTTTAATTTTTATATGGGTCCTTGTCTCTTGGCGAATCAGAGGCATTGCTTTTCTTTTCTGCTTTGCTGCTTTTTAAGAAGAGTAGCAGTGTAGTTGGGTTGAAAATGTTGGATTCTCAAATTCTCTCTCTATCCCACACACTTTCTGCTTTACTTGGATATTGCAAGAAGCAAATAACCTACAGATTTTATGCTTGCTGCTAAGTTACATTACACCCATCGTAAAGAGCAAAATCAAAGCTTAGAAAATGAGATGTGGAGAAAGAGAAAGCGAGAGCCGAAAGCATGAATATCGCGTCATTGCCATCACTTTAGTCTTCACACTTTTGAAGTAGCCGTTCGTTTATTTCGATGCATGTAACATTCGTAAAGTAGCAGTACGTATTCAGTAACAGTTTCAATATATATCAAAGGCTTAATACCTCTTTTGGTCCCTCGAAATGAGAGAAATGTTTAAGTACGTCTTACGTTTTTTAAAAAATTAAATGTGGTCTCAACTTGTGAAAAAAATGTGCAATTAAATCTTTTTTGGTCACAACGTTAATTTTTTAACGGTGTAACTGACAACATGGATTAAACAGTACGACGTGTCTATTTTATGTGAATGTTGGCTTTCTGAGGTTAAATGACGTGTAAAAAAAAATATTTTGAGGGGTAGGGGATGTTTGCTCTGCATTGAAGAAGATGCAGATGTTGAGGAAGACTGGCGATGAAGGATTTACTTGCAGGTTCGAAGAGTTCGCGACGGGTGACTTTGATCATACCCATTTAGGTTCAACTTCACGCCCCATCCTACCCATCCTACACAATGCATCAAGTTCATTCTCAACCACTTTCAATACCAATAGATACCCAACATCAAGATACCAACTCGTGATCTTCATCTAATCTCAAGATTTTCTTTCATCTGCACAAAATAAACGGATCAAAGCACAAACAAATCCCTCAAATTCAGTACATTCAACCCAAGAATACATCCCCAATCTCCCAATTTCCACTTAGTTGGCAAACTCTAAACTAGCCATCCCAACCCCCATCCACATCCTGTCTCCACCGCAACCGTGAATCTCCCACCGTCGTCGCTCACCACCAAGCTTACCGTTGCCAGCACACTGTTGTAAGTTGCGTGACCGCGACCCCAAACCCAAACCCCAAACCACCACCAAGCTTACCGTCGTTGGAGACATGGTGTCTCCGGCTTGCTTCTCATTCTTCTCAAGAGGCCAAACGGCCAACACCTTAACTCGCGGCAGGTCACCTTGCCACCTCCTAAAGGCCTCCCTTCTCTTGCTCATTCTCACGGAGGAAACCCTAAGAGGGGTTTGGGCTTGGCCCATCTTCAACGCAAGCAAGCAGCTCTATTCTCTGTTAAAAATATTTTTTTTTAAATTTAAATTTTACACGTCACTTCCACGTAATGACATAAACTAGACACGTAATTATGTTTTGTCCCTGTCCGCTGTACCGTTAAAAAATTAACGCCGTGACCAAAAAGGATTTAATTGCACACTTTTTTCACAAGTTGGGACCACATTGAACTTTTTAAAAAACGTAGGACGGACTTGAACATTGTTCCCCTAAAGAGGGACCAAAAGAGGTATTAAACCTATATCAAACTTCAACTTATTAAGTTGTATTCCTTTGAACATGTATAATATTAAATAAAAGGCTTAATTGTTGGGTGGTCCCCACTGAGTATGGTGACATGGCAAAATGCATCGAGTAAAAACATGTAAATATATTGTGCAATAATGTTTAATGAAACTTTCGATCTTCACTACAACCTTCTTTACTGTCAAAGAAAACCTGATTTTCCACTTTCACTCGTTAATGAAATCTTCAATTTCTCTTCTCTTCTTTGTTGTTGAAATACCCAATTCATAAAGTTCATTGACTATAATTTTTTATCTCTAAATCCTAATTCCAAATTTTCACACCAAAAGCCTAAAATAGACACACACAATCATATATATCAACACCAATGCACCTTCAATCTTTAATGGAACTCACTTCACTATCAAAGAAAGCTTGATTTTGCAGTTTCCCTACGCCGTCAATGAAATCCTCAATTTCACTTTCTTTTCTTTATTGATGGAATCCCAATTTATAAACGTTCATTGACTAATTATTTTTAAAAATCCTAATCCCAAATTTTCACATCAAAAAACCCAAAATAGAGACACACAATCATATATATTCAACACCAACGCACCTTCGATCTTCAATGGAACCTACTTTACTGTCAAAGGAATCTTGATTTTCCACTTTCCCTTTGTTGTCAATGAAATCCTCAATTTCGCTTCTTTTTTTCGCTATTGGAATCCCCAATTTGTAAACTTTCACTGACTAAAGTAATTATGCTGGTAAATATAATTTTTTTTGGATTTTAAAACTTTAATTATTCTAGAATTTTATCGATGAATTTAAATTTATTGATAAAATTTGTTGATAAAATTGTCGGTAATACAAAATTCAATACCAACTAATTTTTTCGTCGATAAATTTGTTGGTATTACATACCTTAAAATTTGTTGATATAGTCTGTGAGTAATTTAAAATTTTTGTTATTGACAGTTTGTCCGTAGGTAAAAAGAACAACAAATTTTTTATCTAAATTTTCGCATAATATACTCCGAAGAGCAAAGAACTGAAACCCAATCTTGAAACAATCAAATCAAAGCCCAAGAGATTATTCTCAAGTTGATAACCCGCCAATCAATATTAAAGTCCTTGGCTTCTCACCACCATTCACAACCTTAGACAAACCACCTCATCGCTCTCACTCATCATTGAGTTTGCTCCAAAATCCTCCAATTTTTCTTCTGGGTTTGTAGAACAAGCTTAATTTGTGCCACACCAACGAGCTGAGGCAGATGACATTAAGGTCACGATGAAACCCCAATCCTTGATTCCAACACTAAACAAAGACTCTCACGCGAAAACTAAATATGAAGGTGCAAATTAAGATGAAACTAAAGATGACATCGTTTAGAATTTGGGGATTAAGGGAAACGAGGGCTCGAATACCCCTCTGGTGGGTTCTCCACACGTGATGCTCGGGAGAGATGCGTTCTCCACTAGAGATCGAGGGCGAAACTAAATGGACAAGAAGTAAAGCCTAGTCCCCTTGGGGATGTCCATGTAGAAGAGGTGGAAAAGGAGAAAGATAAACAAAATGGAAATATAAAAGGAAGAAGATGAACCAGATCACAGTTATTACCAACAAACTTTATTGATAAATTTTTCAGTCAATAATTACTAATGAAATTTTTTGTTTGATTTTTTTCTGTTCCGTTGGTAAAATTTACCGATGATAATTTTACTAACGAATTTTTCTTGTTGGTAGGCGTTCTGTAATTTTGATTTACCAACGAATTTTAAGTATTATTGAAAAATTTTGACCATTAATAATATCAATATTTCTTATAGTGGAAGCATGAAAGAATACATCACTTTAACCATATGATAAAAATAAAATGCAATTTTATGTATATTTTATGAGGATGTCTTACCTACTGTATATGTTCAAGAAGTTGCATATATTTAAAAATATATTAGGGGTGTCCACTTTTTTTTAAAATATATATAAATTTGAAAGGGTTAAATTTATACAATTTAATAAAATTAAAAAAATACTTTTATTTATATATGTTCATGAAAAGAAAATATAGAGATGGGTAAAGCCATGTAACTAACAATGACGTTCAATAACTATATTTCAATATATGATTTATTATTAAACTATATTTTCAAACATATACTATGTCACTAACTCTATCATCACATGTTAACATTAGACCCTAATGTAGATGTTTCATTATGTTAAAATAGAATGGCTTAATTTCTCACACCAAGAGGGAGGGTGAATTGGTGAAGTGTAAAAATCAAAAGCTTTTAAAATTTTTTCCCCAAAAAATGATGCCTTTATACTTTTCTTGAATTGAAAGGTAAAAGATTTTCAATGTAGTGGAAACTTAATTGAATAAGTACAGAAAGTAATCGATTGAATAAAAGAGAGTAGGGATCATAAAATTCAAACACTGCGTTTTTATACTGGTTCGGCCAACCTGCCTACATCTAGTGTCCTTCCAACCACGGGAAGCAAATGCACTATAATGATCAAGGTTTTTACAACAAGGTTTCTACAGAAGACCTCACGTAAAAAATGTAGGCAATACACAACAAGACCAACAACAAGAATCCTCTCTCCTACCGTCTAACCCCCTTTGAGGCACCCTTAAAGTCAAGAGCACACACGTTCTTCTTCCTGTAGTCACAATAGGGAACTCAAACCAATCTTCAAGAGATTGCAGAATCTAATCACGCAGTAACACCCAAATGTGCATATTTGATTAGTCTTTGAAACACAACAGTCATGCTCTTCGAGAAATCACAAGTTGTTGATCACCACGGTCAATCTTGTTTCTTGGAGCTTTTCCTCTCTTTCTATAAGATCACATCTTTCTATAAATGATATGAAAATTGTTAGAATTATAAAAAGTCTTCACAGAATTCAAATTTGCGTCAATTTATAGTATAACACATATCATACACATTTTAATGGATTGAGCTACTAACGTAATCGAATATAACAATCAGTTATAACAGAATTAGCAGCAGTCAAACAAATAATGAAATGTATTATTAATGCAATCGACTATCATTTAATGTTTGGTCAACATATTTAAAAATATGACCGTTATGTTAGTTGTAACAAGCATTTAACAGATTTTCAAAACATCAATAACTTATTCGAATTAGAGTGCATGCATTCGATTAAGAGAAATCTTTTTGCACAGTTTTGAAAACTTTTCTCTTTCATAAAACTCACAGCTCACTTCAAAAGAGTTTGTGCAAACACACGAGTTTTAATCGATTCACCCGAT